ATATTAATTTACATCATGTGTTGCCATGGTTGTGAACAATATACATAAGAACAAAAAGTATGTATTACTGTTGGAGTAAAGATAGTAATTTATCGTTTTGATAGGAATTTTTCTTTTTGATAGGAATATCTTATCTGTTTATTAGATGATTTTTTCTTCAATTTTAACTTGTCAATTGCCGATTTCACTCGATATCAAAGCTAACAAAAAAATAAGATTAAATTCAGTTCAATTTAGTTCGAAAACAATCTGCTATTTGAATTCTGATCATTTCTTATTGATGACCGATTTGAAAAATCGTAGAGATTATCGTATATTGATTAGAAAATCAAATATAATACACATATCATAATACATATATAACTTTGATCTATATGTATACATAGCACGTTTCAATAAAAGTCTTTTATTTAATTTAATCTAAATTGATTTAATCTTGATTTAAACGACCAAAACCCATGCTCGAAAAAGTCTTGACGATTAATCTGACCAAAACCAATGGTCGAATTGTCACGAAATTAGCCAAACGTTGTCAAATATAAAAATAGAGTCTTTCTCGTTTATTAATTATTGGCGAAACAAATACATATACTTTCCAATAAAAACTTGCTTAATTGCTTAATAAGAATCGAAATTTTCTATGCAGAATGCATGGCATAGATATTTTCTTATTAGTCTACTTGTCATTTTAGTTCTTTTGTAACTATTTATTGTTTCAAAATTTTAATTAGCCGAGCTCTACTTGACGCAGCCAAATAGTATAACTCTGGCTGCCGGTATGCCAAATGCCGCAACGTATCCCGTTAATTCTATTTCTATGACATATAAATATAATATCCCAGTAAATCTTAGCAAACATGAAGTATCTACAGCATTACAATATGGATCTTCACAGGGGTAAATATCAACATTAACATTCTGAACTAATTTTATACCTTATTCAACTTTATTTTTAATTTTTTTATATTTTTATAATATTTTTTCATGCTTCTATGGTATAATTAAATCTTATATTACTTATCAATGTAATACAAGCATTTTCATTAATTAATTAATTAATTAATAATATATTTTACGTTTTGACATACTTGAATCGTTATCATTTTTCTTGCCAAAGTTATGCACCGTTAATAGAAAAATGGAAGGAGTTCCAGAAAATGTGGCATACACCAAAACGAAGCGATTGGCAAGTCGTGTTCACGAACGGTTCTTTGGACGGTTGCAGTAAGATCTTTGAAATGATGATCGATGAAAATGACCCAGTTATGATTCAAGCGCCATTATATATAGGCATACTCGGAGCGGTTTGTTATTTTAAAATTATATTATGAAAGAATAATAAACGACAGAGGTGCGAAATACAAATCTCTAGTAGAAAGCGCAAGAAAAGTTACTTAAAACTTAAAAATTTATATCATATTACAATTACAATATTGTCTAAATTGACTAAAAAGTTAATATATCTTATATAAAATATCTCGTAAAGTATTAAATTCTCAATAATCTTGTGTTAATATTTTTATATATTAAACAATACATTAATTAATGTGAATAATTCACTGTATTTAAAAGAACAGGACAATTTTACATTGCTTATAGATTTGATACAAAAAATTAAATCTTTGATTTATTCTACTAACATAGTATTGTTTTTTTAACATGTAGAAGACCCGAATGAATTATTTATATAGAGAATAATTTTCAGAAGGTTATCTAATTCTTTTTTTTTATTTATTTTTATAGTTAGTACCATTGGCACCGGATGTTATAGAGATTCACCAAGATGCTGATGGGATAATTCCCGAGGAAATCACCAAAGAATGCGAACAAAGATTTAAGGATGGTAAACCGATGCCGAAAGTAAGTCAGAAAATAGCGGTATTGTGCCAAATGTTCTTTTTAAAATTGTAAGAAATAATAAAGAAGTAATTATTTATTTTTGTTTCTCTATCATTTGCGAGAAATTTTTTACTTTACTTATAACTCAAGAGCTTTTGACAAGCATGTCAATACTTCTATTTAAAAATAATTAAAATTTCAAATAGCTCGAATATATCGTATCATAACCGTAACTATTTTAGAAAATAATAATCATTGCTAGTGGTCCAATAGTTGACGGCACGTTAAATATCCCAAAGTTTTTTTTTAAGACGAGAATCTGTGTCGATAATAATCAATCACCTATTTTAAATTGATAATCTCGCGATTAGTTCACTCACATAATTGACATATTCGTATTTTAAATTTATTTTTTATTATATACGACCTTTATTTCATTAATTTCCTTTTATACAATGATTGTCGTACTGCTTTAAAACCCTTTCCTTTTATTAAATAAATATGCAGCTTTTGCTATATTTTGCAGTTACTTTATATCAATCCAACGGGAGCAAATCCTACAGGCACCGTTTTGTCGGAGACCCGACGAAGAAAAGTGTACGAGTTGGCGCAGAAATACAACTTCCTAATCGTCGAGGACGATCCTTACTATTTCGTTCACTTTCTCGGTGAACAGCCCACGTCATTTTTTTCCCTCGATACTGATGGTCGCGTTATCAGATTGGACTCATTCAGCAAAATTATGAGTGCTGGAATTCGCGTCGGTGTTGTCACAGCACACCCAGATATCGCAACTAAATTGCAAATACACATGGAAAACTCGAACATTCATCCATCAAATTTATCTCAGGTAAAGCTGGGTTCAATATGTCTTTCAACTTGCTTTATCGACTATAATAGTACTATCATGATAATTTCTTTTACATATACATGTATATAACAGATATAACAGATTGTAGGGTAAATGTAATGAAATAAATATTTTATCAGACTTAAGTATTCTTATCTGCTACAGAAGTTTTTTTAATTATGATTATCTTCCATTGGATATCAACAATTTGACTTTTTAACATGTTCTTAATAATGATAATAATTATCATGTATATATATAATAAGTAGATATTATTACTAGCGTTTCGGATATAAATTTACGAATAAAATTATTTTTTTAAATATATGTCATAAATCATTTATAATAATCTTTTCTTCAGATGCTGATTTACAAACTCTTCGAGAATTGGACCCCGCAACAATTTGAACAACATTTCAAAGATATTCAAAAATTTTATCGGGAGCGACGTGACATGATGCTGATCATAGTTGAAAAATATTTAAAAGATATGTTAAAAGTTACAAAAGTTCGATCAGTCTGTAATAAATAATTTTCGAATGCTCTGCCTATTTTAATCTCTGTTAACCTGAATTTTAAAAGTAGCTTTGAAATTCTTACATAATAAAATCGTTATATTTGTTAGGTTTGGCAGAATGGTGTGTACCTCAAGGTGGAATGTTTCTTTGGGTTAAAGTAACGGTTGTGGATAACACATTGGATTTAGTGTTGAACAAATGCGTGCCGCAAGGTGTTTTTGTTCTTCCTGGAAATACCTTCAACTATGATACTTCAAAACATGATTGTCATTTGAGGCTTAGCTACAGTTATTCTTCATT